GCTCCGAGGTGGTTGAATGTCCTGCTGGAGAATGCACATGAATTTTCCGCTAGGCGACGTGGCTCCTCTGCACACACTTGTTCTCTGTTTTCTGAGATAATGTCCGCTCCATGCAGTAGGAACTATTCTTCACAGATTTTTCCCAGGTTGCTTGCCCATCCACCAACGATGGCTGTTGGTATATAACCTACCGGAAAAAGTTTTACCCCTTACACTTATTCCCAAACTATCCCGAAAGCGTTTGGCGGCGTCGTGTGATGTTGACCTGGACGGAAGCACAGATCCCAGCACAGCACTTCCCAGAAGTCTGTGTGCGTCCATGATTTCGGGTTCAAGGAGAAACCGCTCAACAGATTTGAGTAAATGTAAGACCACTACAATAAATGCTGTGCAGCACCCGCTTGAAGGAAAAGGCGAAAATGATTATTTGTGACCCATCAGCTCCATACAATTCGTCTGTTAATGAGATTCCTTGCATTGCATGATAGACCTGAAGGACACAGGAAGTAGGCATAAAAAATAGCCACTGAAGGTGGCGTTGAGTGAACAAGCATCCGCGGCATTATTGCCGCTGACGTGCTTCCATTTTAGGGAGAGTAGTCCTCCCAGTTTGTCAGCCGCCTGCCTCATGGTGATAGTTCGGTAACCTAACTTATATCTTCCTCTGATTACAGAACGTCAGCGGCCAAATGAGCACTCCTAACGAAGAAGTTCATGCACCTCTCGGCATGACGTATGTACTCATCAAACGACGAATACAATTCAAAGTTTTATGTAGTCTATTTTGAACCTTTACCCCGGCCGCGCTCTGGCTAACTTATTAGGCATCGTGGGCACCCAGCCGTATGTTGGTCATGTGCGTCAACTAGGTTCTTTCAGCTGTCCACTATGACCAATGTAGGTTCCACGTCAATAAGTGATCAACTTCGTGGTCTTTCTAGTATTATTCGCTAGCTATAACGGAACCATCTGCTGTTTAACAGCAAACATGCAGGATTTTGCTAATATTGAATGTGGAATACTCAATTTATCTGGTGACAGCAATTATCGAGCAAAAACTGTCTACAGGAATAGAACCCCACATAATTTGCGTTCACAAGGGCCATGTAGATTATAGAGTGTTCAGGGAGTCGTTTCAGCTGGGAAACTGTCTGAAATTTTCGTTCATTGTATGCGAATAGCCTCTACCCGCAATTTGCGATTTATTAGCCGCAGGCTATTGACACAGCCAAATTAAGTTCGTCGAAACTATAGGGTCTTCGAAGTTGCTATTTTAATGGGAAGTTGATCTAATCAATTAGCACCTTCCCGTGACATGTTGCACGTAGCATTTTGTTTAAGTGAGCAAAATGTCAAGGTCACTGACCATCGCCGATTTGGATTTTTTGCCGGTTTACGCGACATAAAACACGAAATCGCACTTTAGCATATTTTGGTGTTTTTCGGTGTTCTTGGAGAGTAAAAGTAACATCTTACGAGTATTTAGTGCAAATGCCAACCTATAGGATCAGTCGCAGGCGTCTGTTTGCTTTAGACACCTCAGATTTAACAAATGGGATATTTTTGTCTGGTGAACCTGCTCACAACACATTTTCCCCATGGGTCTCATGTTCCATTAAGTGAAACAAAGTTAAATTACAGCACAAATTTGCAGTGGCAGTGCGAGGGACATATGTGGATGACCCCCCTTCCCAGATATGCTGAACTAGCCTGTAGATAATACAGTGTTACCAGAATGCTGTGGGCGTCTTTCCTTCTATAACCATAACGTTCTATAGGTGGTGACTACCAACCATGAAGAGGTCACCACAATGACGATAGCCGTTTTCACTCACCTCGAC